TTCTCTGGTTGTCGCCGTCACCTCAGCCCCTACGGTAGAGCACTTTCGAAGTTCCCAGCCACCCTCCTACTGATTCTCACAAGTCCTGTGAGCCAGAGAGCTCCAGCATATACACAGCATCCGGGCTTCGATTGCGCCCGCTCTGGAAACGAGGAAGCAGGTGCAGGCACGCAGCCCGTGGTCCCTTCTCTCATTCCCTCCTCTTAATTTGCTCTTGCCCTTCTGCTCCCCTCACCTCCTCCTTCCAACCCCTCTCGTCTTCGGCTCCGGAGCTCACCTTCCTAGAAGCTGTGGTGACCTGAGCCCTGCCACCTGGCCAAAGGACTCCCTGTGCCCTTGATGTGTCCGCGGCGCCTTCTGCAGGCGACCAGGGGCTGGTGCAGGCCTGTTGCAGGACAGGCCAACAGAGATGATGCTGGGTAGCCGCCAAGAAACTCGCCTTTAAAGGGCTCCATGGACGCTAGTCCTCAGCCCCAATACCCTAAGGGAGACCCCACACGCACATATACACAAAACCTCTCTTCCCAGGTGACCAATATCCCCCGTCATAGGACCTGAAGCTTAAGAGAAGTGGCACCAGATAAGAACACAACTTCTCAGTTCAGATCACTTGTTCAGCAGACATCTTTTGCAGAGGAAAGAAACGGAGACTCCAAGGGCAGGAACGCTTTGCTCTAAGGTCACACAGCAGAAAAGCAGCAGAGCTGTGACTAGGAGGCAGGCCTCCCAGCCAGCACTGACTCCATACCCCTGCCTGGCCCAGAGTACCAACCGCCTCACCCTGTCCACTGGGAGAGAGCTGAGTAGGCTTTCTCTTTCTTCAGCCCACAGAGGGGTGACTTGGGGTAACCACCATGGAAAATGGACTAACACCGCATGGGTCTCTGGGGGTGGGGATGGGTTCTTCCCCAGGGAAGTGAACAGACGGTAGGAAGAAAATAGAGAAAGGTGAAAATATAGGAGTTTAGAAAGGAATAGAGGGTCTGAGGTAGGAGAATGAGGAAGCCAAAAGAAGCAAGTGAATGAAAAGGGGCCTGCCCTACAGTCACATTTTTTCCCCTCCCCTGCAGGCTCTCTCTTCGGTAGGGTGACCAAACTGGAACACTTCTGAGAGCGAAGGAGGTGCTAACTGGCATAAACCAGACTCTAGGAGAGTGGTGTAAACCAGGACTGAGCCAGAGGGTCACCCTGTCTCTGAGAGACGTCTCTGAGCCCTGACTATAGACACCACCTACATGGCGGTTCTTCACACTCAGCGTCAGCTCACCTCAGCTCTAGATCTCAATTATTTCCAACTAGACTAGACCTTCTACCCCAACTGAGACATCCCA